CAAAAAAAAAAAAAAAAAAACAAGACAAAATGATATTCACTTCATATGTATGCTTCTACCGTAATGCTATTAAAATGCATTGTAATTTAATTTGCATTTCAATTCAATTTTAAATGAATTTAATGCAATTTTTCTTCATGGCGGCCGTTTACTTTCATTTAGAAATAAATTAATCAATTCAAGCCATGACAATATTATGAAGAAAGCAATCAATCGTTAGATGCCTCTTTAAAAACTTGAAACACTTTAATTCTCGCAAAAAAAAAAAAAAATCTCTTCATATGAAATAACTAACTAGAGATGTAAGCAAAAGAATGTGCACAAGTCTTTCAAGACCGATCGCGAACTTCACTCAATATTTGTACAATTCGCAAATAGAAATTTGATAAGTTATGCATAAGCAGTGAAATTTTCCTTAAATGGGAAAAAGGTTCACTCACTTTTTCTTGATTTTGAAATTTTTTTCAAAATTTTCTCCCTTCACCGCACAACGATTCTCGTATGTTAATTGAGAAGTTGATGTTTATGGGGACGTATGTAACATCGAGAAGAACTTAAGATAGACTCAGCTTTCTCAGCGTTTTTTAAAACAATCTAAGCCCGTCTGCCCATCTGTCTAGCGTCTGTCCATATAAATTTATGGTCAGCCTACGGATGGCAATTTTCGAGATATTTTGAAAAAAGTTTGATACACTGGCGACGAGTCTTGACCCGACGGCGAACGCTATTGCAAATCGTTCCGATTGATCCAATCCACTTTTACCACTCCCCCACATATAACGTTGTATTCTGAAAAGTCGGTATATGGAAAAAAATTGCAATTTATTGCGGCATTCTAAATTTCTGTGAACGCTTTCGGATCGGGTGTTGCCTCTCATATAAGAGAGTTTTCCACGGAAACTGAAGCCTTGTATGGTAAACAGATAGAATTTCTCATATTATATGGTGAAAATTGGCTCATAATAGTAAATTAACAAAGAAATCTACCTTACCGGATTGGGACCATGTACGTCTATCTATACCACCGCATATAACATATACCAAAAAAGTTTAATCGTCAATTTTTTTGTGATGAAAATTTGTTCATGATAATTCATGACCTAATTTGAACGACATGGGTCTATTTTTTGGCTCCCCCTCCCCCTACCCCTCCAGCCCCATAAGATATTTCGTGAGTAACAAGCCCTTCGGAAAAAGATTACATTTTTAATATATTATGATGAAAGTGAATTCATCAGTAGCGTTTCAGCAAAAAAATCAATGATAGGGAATTTGGATCACATAGGTATATTTTTTTTTAACTCCAACATATATACGCGCTGGAATTTAATTCAAACACTTATATGGAAAGAGACCTAACCTTCCTACCTTCTAACCTTCCAATATGCAAGCGAATAACTGCACTAAGCAAAGTGATGTAATAGTGGGCGTTGCCCACTTTTACTCTTTACTCACTTGAAATAAAAATAATTTTCTATTAGAACACAATTCGCAGGCGATTTCGTTACGTATGATAATTACTTTCGGGCGCATTCTAAATTTTGTTTGGTTGTCATCTTTTTTATTTAGAAGATTAACTTCAAAGAACATACCTTGGACATTTGATACCGCACATTACTTGCAATACATAAGTTTATTAAGTTTGGGCGGAATGTATGCAATAGTCAGGAAGACTTGAGAAATATTCATATTTTTGATACCGATCGATTGACAATCATTTCCTGTCCATCTGTCTGCCTGTCTGTCTGTCGGTCTTGGGTGTTCTTTTGATCAAACTATAACGGGCGACTATTGCGATACTTTGAGGAAATTTGATAGACTAACGTGTTTCGACTCAAAGACGAACGCTATTGAAAATGGCTTGGATTGGACCACCTTTTCGACCAACTTGCATATAACGCCATATTATAATAAATCATAACAACAACAACTGTAGTATGGTGCAGGGTATTCAATTTGTGACCTAGTATAACGTTTTCATACATTTTTTTTCAAATTGTCTATTCATGCGTTTTATCTCGAGCTGATAGCGAAACTGAAACAATTGTATAAAAAGAAGCAAAATAATGACAATAATATTAATAATACATATCTACATATTAAGTCGCGTGTGTACGTGCGGGTGTGTATGTGTGTATCTGTTTTTATATAATTAATTTTATATAATTAATAATCTAATATGTTTTACCATTTATTTGATGTTATATAATATTTAGTTCTGATTGTCTATTCAATTAAAAAAGAATGCAATGTTCACTCTTGTTGCATATATAAGAAAGGATAAGAAATATGAAAAGAAATTTTGTCACCAAATTTATTATAACCGTAGACTTTAAAGTCAAGTCAAATCTATTTTTTGTAATTTATTGATGTGAGAAGACTATTACGTTAGCGTTTCGTCAATTAAAAAGGATGCAATATCTAATTGGCGCGCTACAAATCAATTGTACTCCAGTTCCACCTAATCGATGGTTTTATTGAAAACTCGGTTATGAAAGGTGCGCTTAGCGCAACATCAGACAAAATAAAATTCATGTAGACCGGTGTGCGTTCCTAGAACGTCGCAATTAACTGAGCTTGATTGCTCGGCTTTATTCTTCTCAAGCTTGATCCTCTTTCGTTCTCTCTTCTTCCTAACTATTTATTCTGCATTCGATTTTGGCAGTTGACATTATGCTGCTTTTGTAAGCAGCGTTATCTCTGTCATTCAGGGGTACATTAAGTAAGTTTTTGCCAGTGTATGCAATAATATTTAGAATGTCCTGAGATAGACTCATCTTTTATTATCGATTCAGACTGCAGGCTTATCGGTTTGTCGATCTATTGGTCTGATGGGCGTTCCTGTGCTCACACAGATCATAATTTTGGGTATATTTTCATAAAATTTCTTGCAACGTTATGCTTCGGCTCAAGGACGAGCGCTAATGAAATGATGATGTTTGTATTTGTTTATTTTAAAAAAAAAAAAAAAAAAAAAAAAAAAAAAAACGCTACCTTATTAAACATTTCGTCACACTTTGATAACGAGTGACCGCTAATTAAATCGATTTATCTCTTTAATTTTAGAACATCTACAGCCCCATCAATCGCATCAAACATTAGCGCAGCAGCAACAATCCCAGCAACAACATCAACAGCAACAGCAGTTTGCCATTGCTGATTCAAATACAAATAGTGCAGTAGCAAAATCATTTGTACCGTGTAAAGTTTGTGGTGACAAAGCATCCGGTTATCATTACGGCGTAACATCCTGTGAAGGTTGTAAGGTTAGTATTGCCTTCTTCTCAATCTAATCTAACAAATTATCTGACAGAGTGCGAGCACTATCCTAGCAGTGTAAACGATTTAATATATCGACGGTTCAAACGGCTCTTGTTTGAAAATGTATTTAAAATATCTGTGATCGAAAGTCGTAATCTTAGCAAAGCGTAAGTTGGAAGTGTATGAGAAGACACGGCGTCGTTAAGGTTTTGTGAAATATTCGTTCTTGTGATACAATACGAATACGTCGCACTTATCAAACAAACACGATGTGACCACGCCAAATATAGTTGAGTCTTTCACGCCTCCTCTGGCTATAATCTTTTTTGCCCATCTCCATTTGTTCATTTCCTGACTGGTTAATCAAACAACAAAAAAGAAAAAAAGAAATAATCAAGAAAATCTATAAACGATTGAAAAGATGCGAGTCCACGAAAATGATTGGCTTTGCGGAAAGTTCTGATCTTGGGATGAGTGACACTTTCACTCAGCCCGAGACGACTCCATCAACTATTCGCTTCGGTTTATAATCCAGGACAAGACCTGAAATGGACTAAAACGAGAGAATTCTCTTCAAAGAACGGGAAGACAGTTCAGTCTATCTGTGAGATCATGGCATTAGTTTGTCGAGATGAGAGCGACATCATTCTCACAAAGTTATCTTTGAAAAGAAGAAACGATAATCGGCGAGCATTATATGCAGTTATTGCAGTGTTTTGCATTCCCAAACTTATTCTATTTCCTTTCTTAAGCCCTCTTGTTCGTCCCGTGCGTTCTCATCTTTCGTCTGCACGTATAGACAAATGGGAAAGTTGTTCATTCAATTTATTACTTCCCGACGTAGTTGAGGCAATGTTTTGAGCAGACATTGCCAACACTACCGCTCAACTTGATCGGAGGAATATATTCTCTGGCTGCAATTTAATAAACCCCGAACGTAACTCTTGCCTGAAAAAACGTAAGGGATGATGATGAAAAGAGGTTTTAAAGTTTTTCAAATACAAATAATAATGCTGGCATAAAAAATAAAACCGTTCGACCACTAGGTCTACCATCTAACTATGACTGATTGTGGAAATCACAGCAGAAAAAAGAAAAGAAGGTAAAAAGGTTAAGAGAGCTTGCTATGTAACTTGATGTTGGGCTTTTTTTTTTTGCCGAATGTATTTTCCTCAAATTCGATTCGCTGCTAGAATCGTTTGTCACCGATCTTATTCTTATTTAGCGATTACAGATCAATGATCTGATTGATCTCCTTTTATAGCTACGTGTGTGATTGTGTACCGCACGCCGATCAACAATTAGTTAATTAGATTGTTTGGTGGGAGTGTGTAATCCGCATTGTAAGCAAATTCCACTATTTACGGCCATATGTAAAATTTGATCAGCATCAAATACGAATTAAATTAAAAAAAAAAAAAAAAAATTAATTTTTTTATGTATTTTCAGGGTTTTTTTCGACGCAGCATACAAAAGCAAATTGAATATCGTTGCCTGCGGGACGGTAAATGCTTGGTGATACGTTTAAATCGTAATCGCTGTCAATATTGTCGTTTTAAAAAATGTCTATCAGCAGGAATGAGCCGAGATTGTAAGTACCATTTATTTAATTAACACATTCCTTAAAGCTTTGTTTCCTCCCAATCAATGCAATCGACTTAATTATTAAATTAATTTTCATTGAAACGCGAGACGATCAATCTTAATCTATTGCCTCATGCTGCATACAGCTATTTCGAGTTGTTGTTGTTGTTGTTGTCGTTGTTGTTGCTGTTGTTGTTGTTGTCCCAGTGTAAACTTCAAAAAAAGAGAAAAAAAAATGGATTTTTTTTTTTTGTTGTATTGACCAACTTACCGGGAGCATTGCGGTGTATAGTAAAAATGGCCAAATTACAATGCTTGCAGCATTCGCAGCAGCTTTTAAAGAAATTTATATATATATATATATATATATATATATATATATATATACATATGTACATTGTGGGTTCTCGAGTTTTGCACAGTTTAAAATTTGATTTGACGCTCTGTGACCTACTTATCAAGTTTGTAATTTTTTTTATTTATTTTTTATTTCGTATTGTTTTTGTGTGCAATCGTGTTAGCGTGGATGTGTGGAACTATGTGGAAGTGTGGAAGTGTAGAAGTACTAGAAATAAACTTACATTGAAATCTACATAGAAACGTACTTTCATTAGTTATTGTTGCCGTTGTCGTTACCATTACCGTTGGCGTTCCTATTGCTGTTGCTAATGCTGTTCCTGCTGCCGCTGCTGCTGCTACTGCTGCTACTGCTGCTACTGCTAGTACTGCTGTCGGTTGACGTTAAGTTTCTAACGTGCTCGAATCGGATTTATACCCTTAATGCAGTTAGTTTTTTTTTATTTCTCATTGTTTCCATTTGACTCTTGTGCGTTGTTGCTGTTGCACTGGCATACGAAACTTTATTAAGTTTGATTTTAAAAGTTTTCGTTTTAATATTTGTTTGTTTTTTTTTTTTTTTTTTCCTTTTTATTTCTTGGTTTCTATTTACTGAAAATGCATTGCAGCTAAATTGGCAAATTGTGAAGTTAGCATTAGATGCACACGGCCGTTCACTTCTACGGGCTTATGGATACAACGGATATATAGTATCAGTATGACGCTCACGATGCTACGATGCATTTTTTTTTTTTTTTTTGAGTGTGATTGACATCAATTTTCTGTTCGCCACGCTTGACGTGCTATTAATTTCAAGAGATTGTTTCTGCTTTAGTTTTTATCATAAGCAGTAAAAAAAAAAGAAAGAAAAAAAATTCGTTTATTTCATTTTAAATGTCATTTAAAGTGTTTAGGCGTTTAAGCAAAATCTCTAAGAGAGGTTAGGTTACCTACATTACTTAAGGTAATGAAAAAGTTTCCCAACATTTTTTTATTTTTTTATTTTACAACGAAACGTCTAGGTAACCTAGATACGATCGTTCTTCTAACGCAAGAGCTGTTGATATTGTTTAGTAATTCAACGAATTGTTAAAATAACACTGGAGAAGCAAATCCGACACACAGATGCGACAGTAATAAAATGTAATTGATTTTATATACATACATACATACATACATACATACATACATACATACCATACCACATCGAAATCATATTCGATTAGAGTCATTTTTTCCATTATTTTCTTTTATTTCATTTGTCCATCATCGGTTAGTATTTCAACTTATTACGCCTTTGCTTATAGCGAAGAAACTCAACATCCTTTCATTTATAAAACAATGGATAGATTTTGAATAAAAAATATTTTAAATCATATTCTTGAACAATTTGAGAGCAATTCTTTCATTTTGCTCATTTCGAATTTTTTAATAGCCAGTAGTCCGTAGTCTTAAGTCCGTTTTAAGTAATAATATTGAAAGGACAGAAGAAGAGCTTAACTGCATTGTTTCAGTCAAAGCCTTGACGCCTTAATCATAATTTTAATGCGCGGATGGAATTATGATCACTCAGCTGGATCTCACAGCATGGCAACAACATGGCGTCTACTGTTTCCATATTGGCTCTCCAACGGTTATAAAAAATCTAATTTTAAAGGCATGTCTGAGCAGAACTATTCTGGAAACGTGGGCGATTGCAAACGGTCCATTGGAAAGTTTGCTCATATCTATCGTTGTACTAAAATTAGGACGAGAAGCAAGAGAGGCATGTCTAACCGTGTATAAGCACCCGGTTGCTGTATTGACTTCGTAGAAAGTCAGGGGCTTTAGATAGGGGTACCGCCTAGAACCCACAGATATAACATGATATTGTGTTCTGGACTCGTAGAAATATGCTATATATCCTACCTAACTAAGCGAATTTTGCTCTTTGGCGCAATCGCTCTCCCCTCTGCCATCCGGTACCGTGGAATCAAATCCTATCGAGACAGGCATACCCCATGATAGTGTCTGCTTTGTGTTGTAAACGTTTAGAGAGCATACAAACTTGCGGCAAATACTCGTTCGAAACTGAAATGCACACTTCATTAAATATGCGAAAAGACTGCAGCATTTTAGACAAAACATGCTTAAAACAACAATCACAGCTTATAACAACAAATATGTCATGTGAAAGAAAGGGACATCGGAACATATATCGAATCAAATCGAAATTTTATTTGGCAGCTCTTTGCGATCAGGTAGCATTAATCAGGCCCATCACCGGTAGAAAATTGTATGAAAACAGTGTCTTAACTGATGTTTGGATGATTTTCTATGTGAAACACTACAAGCTTTCTCAACGGCTGCTGGGAACATGACAATCTTTCAGTACTCAAACTAATTGCGAGCATTAAGGAGCTTTGAAGAAATCTTTCGCAGAAATCATTTTTGATCTAAATTCTGAAAAAAATTACTTTAATATAATATTAAAGCTGTTCTTCAACTTAAACGTTTTTCTTCTCGGAGAGAGCACAAGCGCGGTCGATGCTGTCGCCTGATCACATCAAACTAATATCTTCGCGCCTTACATCTTAGCTTATGTAAACTAAATATAGTACGACTGAAGTATGACAAGTTGCGGTAGTGTTGTCGTACGACATGCAGGCAATTACAGTACGAATGGATAGACGGAACGCTGCGATAGCCTAGTGAACATATTAAAAGACTTAGTTGGTAGATAAATCGGTGGTATCTCTGCAGAACACTTGCCCTAGGTGTATCGATAACACGTCGATGCTCGAGGGTATGAACTTTCGTCGCCGATATGTGCTTGAACTTTTCGCTGTCAAGAGGTTTGGCGATGAGGTGTAACTCTAATTTTGGCCGGATATGGAACGTGTAAGTGGTGGGTGTATCGATTGCAATGATGTATATTTCAAACCGCTTCGAAAACAAATGTCCTTGACTTAATCTTTCGACAGCCCGAACGTATCGGCTATCCAGCGAACATGATTTTGTATTTTCATGTCCCGAGTATTAAGGGTTGTCGAATCTTCGACATTGGCATCACCAAAGGCGAGAGAGAGACTGATCGTCACTTGCTCCATGCGTTAAGAGACACAACTGCATTTGCCTGGCATTAAAATTTACCCTATTAGCTTGACTCTCATCCGATTTAGTGTGCCATTCATTCATCATGCAACGCTTGTTGTGTACTTCGGTGCTGTTGGATCACCCGGTAGGAGAGAACAGGCTGCTGTTGTCTCCGAATGAATAAATAATGTTTTCTATCGCGCACAGAGGTACGTTGATGAGCACTAAGAACAACGTAGAAGAAAGAACAGAGCGTTGTTGTACTGCAGCATTTAAGTTGAATGCGACGGCGATAAATCCTTCGATTACAACTTTTATCGAAAGTTTATTTAGGAAATTTGATATAAATTGAGTAAAATTCTCATCCAACAAACATCGGTGCAGTGTATTATACGCTGCTCCCAACAAACGCGACTTTAACTTGAACACCCTATCAATAACAACTGTACGGATGTGAACATTGGGCCGAAAATAGAAGACAAAATGGCTATTGGTCACATATTTCAAAACCGTTCACTTGTTAAGCTCTTGATTTATTCGCCATAAATTGCCCCTTCCGATTACTATTGTTGATAATGGACGATGTATTGCTTATCTAGGCGGGTGCAACTGCTATTCCCATAATGATATTCAAAAATTTCACCAAAAGAGGAGGCATGTGTTCGTTGGTTAGGTATCATTTTATATTTGAATACAAAAAAAAAAAAAAAAAAAAAAAAAATTGATTTTACAAGAAACCTCTTTAAAATATATTCAAGCTCCCGTCTTTAATATTGATAAGAAGAGAAAAATACCTTGCTAGTTATATGAATGCTTCATTTGCAAAATCGATTAACTCAACTTTTTGCATTTCTTTTAATTATAATATCGAGGCAATTGATTGACTCCTTAAATAAATTTATTTAAAAATAACAAATATGTGATTGAATAATAGATTGAACAGCTGCTTACTTCAGATATCCATCCATTCGTACTCTAACATAGTCTTAACTGAGTTGAAAGCCTTTTTGACAAAGCATTTAAAAGGGTAAAGTCAATAAGAGAATTGTTTTCTATCGCTACTAAAGACTCGAGATAAGACGAGATGCGAATAAACAATTGCAACACTTTTCCGTTTGCTTTTAGTTTTATGAAGTTAATCGATTTGGCAAATGGCAGATATTCATACTTGCACTGGCTATTGTAGTCTAATCAGGTTAAGTGCTTGGCCAACTTAGATGATGCTTCATTATGGAAGTGTTTCTTTTTGTTGTTTTAATAAGAACCTTCCAAGCTGATGTGCTTTATTTATTTTTCGTCTTCCTCTTTTTCTTAGACGTCTCACGTCTCAAATGCAACGACCTAGTAATCAGCGAAGGAGCGGCTTAAATCAAAAATGAATCTTCATTATTATTATATTTTAAGCATGCGTAACCATTCGCACAGCATTTTGCATAAAATTATGTTTATTGCAAGAGATGAAAATTTCACAACACACAACAATAATAAAAACAAAAAACTATATATATATAAATATATTTATATATATATATTTTTGTTATTTTATTTTCTTTGCTTATTGTTAATATCTTTTGTTTATTTGTTTGTTTGTTTGTC